CTTGATATGTTCAATTACTAAAGAAAATAAAGAGCTTCAGATCTTCCCTTCGGAAACTTTCCAAGTTGCCATAGCGCGTTGCTCATCTTCATCACGCCCTGCTTGTACCTAGAATACTAAAGTAGAATGATTCAAAAGTTCTAATGAAAATTTTTGAAGCTTTTTCCTGACTGGGTTCTGAGAAATGGACTTTGTCCTCGTGGCGATATAAACCGATTGACATGACTCTGAAATGAATTATAAAAACCCTTGGTCATTGGCTGTATGCTCCTCCCTTGATGCACTGATAAGGTCTATAAATGTGCTAGTAGTTGGAGCAGCTAACCAATACTGTGCGTATCTTCAGGAAAACAACTCGACTGTTTGGAAACTTGTACTGGAACCTGAAGAATCGACGTGGCTCACCAAGGCTTGAAATTGAAAGCTGAAACCATACACCTCAGCTCCAAGCGGGAACATGAGCTGCCACTTTGTCAGCACTATGCAATTAGGATAACTATCGGTTCAGCTTCTACGTAGTGTAACATGGTTCCAGAAAATCTTCTAGCTTCCTGTCTATAAATGCCAACAGGAATCTTAGAACTACTACCAAGCATGGCCAAGAACCCTTTCTAGGTTCTATGAAATAAGTAGAACTCTTCACAACACATCTAGCTCTCCTTACAACCTAATCATGGCTTTTAGATCAACTGTAAGTGATTGCTAATTATCTGTTCATTTCTTAAAGTTATTTCCTGACTTGATTGCTACATTCTGCAGGTTTACTGGAAATGGATGACAAGTCGGTTAAGAGGAAATGCACATGCGACATCAACATCACCAGAAAGGCGGGTGCATGCAGGACCAGCAGCTGATTTTGGATATCTTGATCTTGTTGAACAGGGGAGGAAGACGTCAGTGAAGGCTGATTTCACATACACCGGCGTTAATAATTTTACAAATCTCACTGGGTTTAGCCTCCACAAAACAGCAGCTTCTGAAGCCACCAAATGTTCGTGTCATAAAGAAGTTAAGGGAAACAATTCCTGAAGTAGTGGTCCCAGATAAAGTGGTTGACGAGGGCAAGAAATTCTTTGAGAAATCCTTCTACAGGAAGGCAGCTCACGTTCAGGAGTTTGAGATTGGTATTCAGTACATGCCTAATCCCATTTGCAAAGATGTTTACGCTCACCCTCTCAAAGCAGAGACACTAAAATCTGTGGGAATAGAACCTCAGCAGCTTTGATGCATTATCCTTTACCTTTTTGTAGATTTAGGCACTTGTTTTCAATCTTTTTTACAAACTTTTTTTCCTCTTTATCTTAACAAAGCTCGAGGCGAAATTTTTGTGCTCATTGTAAATTTCACCCTAGTTAGTGATGAATGCAATGGTATGTAGATGAGGTTACTTTAATGAGCTAGCTAATATTAATTTCATTTTGAAATATTAGTTTGTTCTTAGGTTTCTAATTCTATAGGGTTAGTTTCAGATTGTTGCTATGCTCCTTGCCTTGTTTCTGGTCTGATTTTGGAGCGTTATTCTATTTGGTCACTTTTGCCAGCTGAAGGAAGGAGTCGTTTCGTTTCTAGGTTTCCAACTCCAATCTCCTGCAATTCCAATTCTTTGGAAAAAAAAGAAAATGCATCTGTTGCAGGGTATGGCTTGCATTAGCATCCTGTGAACGGTTTGGATGTATTTGGTGCAAGTGAGAAACTTTATTCATTAAATTGCTGGATCTGGATATTGTAGAACAAAAGAGCCCAAAGGACTCCTACCATGCGCTCCTGGGGGCATCCCTGTCTGCACCAACTGACCAGCTAGAGAAGTTGGAGCAATTAAGTTACTATACAGAGTTGGGGCTGGTGGGAGGGAGTCATATCCATGTCCTTTGCAATCTGATCACAAAAACTTCTTTTTAAGAGCATAGACGATTAAGGTTTATCAAGAAACAATAGGAGAGTTGAGCTTTGCTCCCCGCTAAAAAGGCCAGCCCAGTTTTCCTTTCCCTGAACAAGAAAATGTCATGTTATTACCACAGGCCTGCCTTTAAATTTACCTGGTACTGTAGTAGAACATGACGTGCCACTTCCTGAGCCTTCTACTTGATGCGGTCTCCTCTAACACTTCAACAACTGTCCCTGCAGGTTCCACACTCTGCTACGTGGCTCTAGAACTCTCTCCATCTAATCACCCTCTCCTTTTTATACCCTCGAGAACCTGAAACCTTGACCTCAGCAAGCAAGCAAACAAAGCAAAGCAAAGAATCTTGAAATATTTACCTAATCTTTGTGTTTCCCTCTTCAAGAATCCCACCCAACAATAACATGGCTTTTAGATCAATGGTGGGTGAATTATCATTTTTATTGCAATCTTTATCACCTCTAAGTGTATTTTACATGTTTGCTGAGTCCTTGACTAAATTTGTTCCTATGGTTTGCAGGGTTATTGGAAATCAATAACAAGTCGCTTAAGTGGAACAGCAACCTATGCAACCTCAACCCCGCCAAAACTGAAATCATACGCACCAACAGCTGATCAGTTTGGACATCACTATCATCAAGAAAGCAAGCATGGCAAGAAGGTGAGAGGTGACTTTGTGCCAGTTTATGTGGCAATAGGGATGATAGCTGTATCAATATCACTTGGTCTTTACACTGCCAAGCAACAAGTACTGTATGCACCTAATGTTCGCGTAAGGAAGAAGACCAGAGAGACCATACCTGAAGTGGTTGATCCAGATAAAGTGGTGGACGAAGCTGACAAGTTCATAAAGAAATCATTTTTCAGGAAAGTAGCACATGTTCAAGAGTTTGATCATAATGGACTTGAGTATTTGCCCGATCCTGTTCGTAAAGAAGTTTTTGCACATAAGCCTCGTGCTGAGACACTTAAAGATGTAGGGGTCGATCCTAAACTACAGCTTTGAGCTGCTATGGAGTACGCATCTCTTCTTTGGAAAGATGGGATTTACCCTTTTTTAGCTTAGGAGGGAGGCTCGAGGACCTCTTTGCTTAATCAGCCAGTGTGATTGTAAATAGTAGTTTTCCTGGAGTCCAATTAGTCCAATGTTAATTTTCCTGGAGTGAATTGCCTGAATGTGATTTACAAAATCGAGTGATTTGCTTAACACATAACTGATTTAATTTATACAGGAATATTAATTTCAAAATAATTTATTACCCATATCCTTCTGCAAAATAAAACTAAATAAAATATTTAAATGTTGAATAAGAAATAGTATTTGAATAATAGGCTCATATGAACACCCCAAAATAAGCCTTTTCATTCTTGTTAAGTATTGAGTATCACTATGATAAAAACTTGATTTGTGGATATTTTATAATATGAAGATATGAAGTTCAACTTATTCAAAATCAAATTATTCCAAACAATTTATAAATGGAGATATTAAATTAAAAGGAAGATGTATTTCGTAACCCATCAAATAAATGTGAAGCACATTTATGACAATTTAACCTCTTGCATCCAATCGCTGAAAACCCATATAATATTGTTCTTGGAGGATAAGCCAGTGATTAGTGAGTCTAGCTAAGGCAAAGTGGCACATTGCCTAATTTCAAAACAATCCCTTAATTTCTAATTAAATGCAATTAGAGATTATATACCTAATTCACATACATTGATATCTCACTGAATAAATATTGTAATAACTCGTTTTATACAGTGATGATTAATGATCTGCATATCAACTTTGAGAGCATACCATGGTGGCACGAAGATGGCTTATCCCCGGGACAAGGCAATTGACTCTTGTGAGCATGGCAGCAGGCGTCCATTTTCACGAGTCAATGAAAGAGGGAACGAGAGACTGAAGGCTGTGTTTTTTTTTTTTGTTGAAAAATAATTTTTTAAATTTTTTTGTGTTTGTTTATTATTAGAAAAGTTGGTTAATGAGAAATACTTTCCAATAAAAGAAAAATTTAGCTTGGTTTTAAAGAAAGTGTTTTCCTGAAAAATTTGAACGAAAAACACTTTCTGAAAGTTGTGAAAAATTTAAAAATATCATACTATTTGCTGATTATATCAAATTTGATCCTTAAACTTTTAATTGCTATATATATTTTATTTTGAATATTTATTTTTCAATTTTATTTCTTAAAATTTAATTTTATATTAACTTTGGTTCTCATTTTTATAATTGTTATTTGTCTTTTTTTTTATTTTTTTATTAAAAATTTTTATCTATCAAATTTGATTCTCATTCTTTTGATTGTTATTTATTTTATTTGAAATAATTTATGAAATGTTAATTGTTATTATTTTAATTTCTTCATCTTTTATTTTTTATTTTTTTAGATTTGATCTCTATTATTTTGATTATTATTTATTTTATTTGAGATAATTTATGAAATTATATATATTTTTTAATTTTATTCTGATTCAATTTTTTAATTTATAAGATTTGTTCTTTATTATTTTAAAAAAAATAAAACATTAACAAGTTATTTTACAGTTTATTTTATATGACATAACTAAATACTAGATAATATTTTCTAACTTATTTTTCATTACACTACTGCATATAAAAAATAATTTATTTTTTTAAAATTTATTTTTTCTAAATTTATTTTATAAAAAATACTACTTTCCAAGCAAACAAATAATACAAATATTACAAGGAATAAAATAGTGGAATATAAATTGACGTGAGATTCAAGACTCAAGTTCTTTGTTACCTTTAGTCCGGAGAAATGATACGCTAAATCTTCTGAGTTTTAAAAGAAAAGGTTGGTTTTAGTGCTTTGCTAGTCACACATAGTAGCTCTTCCATTTTTGAAGGATAAAGGAGATGGGACTAAAGATTTCAAAATGTAAGGGTTCATATTATCTTTTAGCACAGCTAGGCTGGTGCGATATATATTACTTTATATTTCAGCACCTAGATTATGTAAGCAAGGAAGAATTTGTAGGCATCATTACATTTGTTTGCCCCATTCCTATCAATGTTTACGTTCCATTCATAGTTTGGTTCGGGGACTGCTGGACAGATTCCATTAGGCTATGGGAAGATCAGATGCTTGAGCAAGTCAATTTAAAACCAGAATGGATTTCCATGATGTTCTTCAAATCATGATAATGCGCATTTCCATGATGTTCTTCAAATCATGATAATGCGCATTTCGGGGATAGATTCCATTTATTCTTTCAACTGTGGATTCCGAGTCTAGAAATCCATGGGGTTAGGTTTCTAGTGGCCCTTTGTCGTTTCCAGATTTTACAGCAAGATGTGTGTCTTATTAAAGATGAATTTTAGTATCCATCAAGGTAGAATCCCCACTAATCCTTCACTTTCACTTGACCTTTAAAGTATGGACTGAGTCAAATATTTAATATCCAATACCCATATTTTTCTCCAAAAAGTTGGCATCCATGTTGCTTTGCCAGCAGCTTTCGAGAAAACCAGCCGTACAAAATATCTTTACAGTGGAGAATGGACAGTAAAATGCATATCTCTGTTTGGTTTTGGTTCTTACTAAGATTTGATTATGGACATGAGAGTTAATGTATTGGTTATACAAAGATTCGACGAGAATTTTAACAGCAAGTGGGCAAACCAGTCTATATAGACTCCTTGAAGGTTCATATTTTAGTATAGCCAATGAAGAAGGCTGGATTTCATGGATATTAATCAAATGGTTGGAGAAGCTTTCAAGGGAGATAGAAAGCTTAGCCCCCAATGGCCAATGGCATGACTGGAAATTAGGTTTCAACTTGCTTTCTCTCATAAGATAATTCTTGCAGACTTAAGAGCTTATATGTTAAGGGAAGAGCAGATATAAAGAGCCTGCAGTTCCAAACATAAAGTCTTTGCAAATTCCGCTCGGGAATCTCTTAGCTCGGAGCAGAATTTTATGAGCAATTCCACAAGTAAATTTAGTTTTTGTACGGTGCAAACTGATTCACCTCACAAATGGATGGCTACAATTTATTAAGATCTTAGAGATTCAAATATCAATTACTCATGGATGGAAGACCATATCTAGACTTTCTAGCTCTTCCCTTCCATGGACTGGATGTATATATGGATGGTGAGAGAGCAGCAGTGGAGCCATGACGTACATATACTATATGCCTAAACACCATGCATTTTTATGCTAGTTTAGTTTTCGTGCCAGTGCTCCATCTCTCCAAAGGGTCATTTCCATGGAAACTTCGCAAATAATCTAGGTAATCATATGCTAATCGAATGTTTACCTATTCTTTATCCCACTATAATTTCCTTTCTGACATTTTAAGGGAAACATTTATAATTTTTTCCATATTCATATAGTTGTATAATGAATGTTTTGCACCTATGGCCTGGTGCAACATAGGCGTAAGAACTCATGAACCGCTCTTGTGATGCAGAGTACTTGTCCCACGAAAACGAAGGGGTCACTCGCCAGTGGCTGCTAATATTCAGAATCCCATTGAAATTTACATGTAAAGAATCGTGTGTTTAAGCATCACTTTTGTCGCACAAGTCTGGAAATTGAAATTCTAGTATGAACAAATCAGGAATCGCTGTGGATATTAATTCCCTGGCCAAGACCCTTTTTTTCACAATGTAATTGTCCTAACCTCCGTATGTCCATTAACAACAAAATTCTCATCACTAACAGCTATCATGACCAACTTTGATGGGGTCGTCAAGCAGATTTAGCTCTCGCGTTAAACTCGAAGAAGTAGTATATTTGTTCTTGAGCCAGGAATTGTTTTCCCTACCTAGTTACCTACACGGAACTGTTCTTGTAGCCATTATGGTGATCAAATGTCATCACCATTTGGAAGGGGCGCTGTGTGATACGTTTCTTGGATGGTTATTTTTCGATAACTTCCCTGTGATTAATGAATTTTTGAAACAAACTTAAGGCCACAAGAACAAGGTCTTGTGGCCTGTAGACTCATTGAAATTGCTGGCAAGATTCTTGTCCTTCTTTCTTGGACTTGAGCTAAATTAAGCCTAACCAGCACCTGAACTAATATTCTCTTCCGTATCAAGGAAGGAGATCTAAAAAATGTGCTATCTAAAAAAATCTCTTTTTTCTTCCCATTAATTCATTGGAAAATTACATGAGATTTCTGAAGTCTCAATTTGTCTTTTGCTCAACATGGATAAGATGAAATAAATTAATGGCAAGTAGCACAGCGTACTCTGTATAAATGGTGCCTATGATTCCCTCTGACCAGCACACTCCATGGCTCTCTATTCATGAGAATGTTGGGAATCCAACTTTTTCTGAACTCTCTCCCTCAACTGCTATTCTAGAGCTTCCTGAGCTAACCCTCGTCAGGTGTTTCTGTGTAGCAGTCGAGGTGGGAGGCTCAGAAAATGTTGGCTTCTTAGCTTTTCATCAAAGGAGGCTGTTTTCATTAGGTAACGAAGGCAAGCACTGGTTCTGATCGCCACAATGACATATATCAAGTATGTTTAGCAGCTGACACCATATAAATCTCACTCTCACCATTTCTTTGTCCGATTACATTGCATCACATTCTTTTCTAGCACTAGACAATGCCTTGAATCTTGCTGCTGTTCTGCATTCTGTAAGCAATGTCATTGGATTTCCCTTGAAAAATCCAACACAAAGGGGATGAAAAGAAGTTAAGGTTGAGTCTACCAACTCTACAGTCTATAATTTCATTTCTATTCTCAGCTGTTATTGTTGTTGCTTTTAATGATTAACTCTTTTACATTTAGAAACAGTTAAGCTCGACCATGATTCTCTTATGAAGTTTCCATGGCTAGTTGCTCAAGAACTAATCTGTTGAAAGCGTTACAATTTTTTATTTTTATTTTTATTTTTATTTTTATTTTTTCACTTGGAATAGAAAGAGCGGAAGGGAAAATGGCTTCTGCACTGTGTACAAATGGCCCAGAAACCCTTCTCATCAACACATTAATTCTTTGATTCTGATGTTGGAGATTCTATTGGAAGCCTAAAAAAGCTAAGTGAAAGCTTTTAACTTTTTGCATGTATTGATGAGCTGTGGTAGAAGATAAACATATATAAATAAAAGGATCAAAAACCTTTTTT